CTCTCTTTCCTTCTTCCCCCCTCCTCTCTTTCCTCTCCTCTTCTCCCATCTCCCTCTCTTCTCTTCCTTTTGCCATCCTCTCTCATGTTCTCTCTCTCTTATCCTATCTCTCAGTCTCCATCCCACATATTCACTACTTTCTTCTCCCTGCTATCATCCTTCTCCCTAATACCTTTCCTGACCAGCAATTAGGTAATCAAAACACACGTGTAATTGATACAAGGAATGAGAGACTGGGGCCAAGAATGACCCATGCCAGCACAGTTTTTTAATATCTAAAAAGAAATAGGCAGTTGGCAAACATAATAATAGAGTACAGTGTGTGCTGTACGCTGGGTAGATATAAAGAAGATAATTTTTTCCCACCTTTACTGTATTAATGAGTATGCATGCCTTGTTCCTTATATCTTGCTCTCTTGTTTTGCAGGTCCTATGGTAGTGTATATAAGGCCTTACACAAGGAATCTGGGCAGGTGCTGGCCATCAAACAGGTGCCCATTGACACAGACCTTCAAGAAATTATAAAAGAAATATCTATAATGCAGCAGTGCGATTCTCCTCATGTCGTCAAATATTATGGTTCATATTTCAAAGACTCAGATCTATGGGTATGTATTGTGTCCAGTCCTTTCTTTATAGGAATATACTTCACTGTGAGATTATAATGTTTTTATCATAATTGATGTTATAACATTTTTATAGGTATAGATTTGGCATTATTTCATGTTTGAAAAATCCTTGAAAAGTATGTGATAAACTTTTGAAATGTGTTATTAAGAAAATGAAATAGAACAGGAATGAAAGACACTTGGTGTTTTTTTCTACCAGATCGTGATGGAGTACTGTGGTGCTGGGTCTGTGTCAGACATCATGAGACTAAGAAAAAAGACTCTCAACGAAGAGAGATCGCGACCATTATTCTACGAACACGTTGCGTGGTTTAGAGTACCTCCACCTGAGACGGAAGATTCACAGGGATTATCAAGGCGGGAAATATCCTCCTCAAACACTCAGGTCATGCCAAGCTAGCAGACTTTGGGGTCGCAGGTCAACTCTCGGTGCGTCAATTTCTGTTGTGATTTCAGATTAATATTTTTGATAATGATGGTGTGATGATGGAATGTAAGAAATTTATTATTTTCATAATTTATGTATAGTATTTTTAAAGATTTTGTTGTCAAACCCTCAGTTAGAGGTTACATGCACTTGAGGTTGTGTGCAAACTGTTTCTCTTTATATGATCTCCCAAGGTAGTATGTTGACAGGTGTTGAAGTGTGATTTTTTTTTTTTTTTTTTTTTTTTTGCTAGTGAACAGAAGTGAACTGATGATAGCCAAAATTTCATTGGCTGGTCTTTTACCTCAAAGTTAGATATATTTTCATTGTCAATGAACAGATTATTGCCTTGACTGACTGAAGCCAAGTCATACTTATGTTCTTGTTGACCCTTGATTCATTAATGAAATTACTCACTTTAGTGTTGAAGCCTTTTAAGTCATTTTGCAAAATCAGTATCTTTTATTATATTCATACAAGAATTTTAAAGCTGCAGTTGCCATAAATTACACAAGCTTCCAAGAGGGAGAGGGAGCCAAGTGCCAGCTGAGGCATGGGAAGAGACTTTGTTATTTTGAAGTTGACTTATTTTTAGACCGAGTATGTCAAATGCACTGCCACTTGAAGGTCGATCTAATATTGCTGATACTCGTGAGATGCTTTAGTGACAACGAATATTTACAGCATGCTTTATGGATGTTTGTATGTAGGGATATTAGCCAAAGAATTTCTGGAAGATGTTTTTAACCTCTTATTTTTTCCCCTCTTGCAGGACACAATGGCCAAAAGAAACACTGTGATAGGCACTCCTTTCTGGATGGCCCCAGAAGTAATTCAGGAAATAGGTTATGACTGTGTAGCTGATATATGGAGTTTAGGTGAGCCAAGTCTGGTTTTGGTTGTACAACTTTTTAATATGTTTCTCATGAGGGATTTTTTAGTTTTTACTTAGAATAATTTTGTTTATTAGAGGTTGAAGATAAATTGGGCTATCTACATTAATTAGGGATCATGTACTAGTAATTGTTTTTGATGCAGATTCCCTCTAGTTTTGTTTGTTAAATACCTCTATAGATGGTGCCACAAATCCTCAGCCACTATGGAGTTAGTTGACCTGACCTGATCTCCCCTGTCCTTGAATTTTTGGGAAGAATGTGTTTTATTAATGCTATTGATATTAATGATTATTTTCATTACTGGCATTATAATTATTATATTGTTGTTAACAATACTGATATGGATATAAGTAAAAAAAGAAAAAAAATTTGTGAAAATAAAGGAAAAGGGTAATTAGGTGAGATAAGGACTAGTAATTGACATCCTTAGTGACTAAGCCTTTATAGAACCATTTGTGTGACTTGTAAACTGTTGATAAGTAAACAGTATTAATTATCTAAATTACAGTGGGCATGGCTGGTACATACATTCTATCCCCGTGGTAAAAAACCCACCAAACCAAAGTCAAAAGTCCACCTCACTCACTCAAGTTCAGATACCTTATATCCACTCTTGTTTTAACCAGGTATAACAGCATTAGAAATGGCGGAGGGGAAGCCCCCTTACGGTGACATTCACCCTATGCGTGCCATATTCATGATCCCCACTAAGCCACCGCCATCATTCCGAGAGCCGATCAGTGGCAACCCGAGTTCATCGACTTTGTGTCCAGGTAAGGAGTCCTGGGGGATTGCCAAAGAATTGTTAGTGAATATGTGCTTTGGATGTTTTAGAGCAAGGGAAGGATGGTGAGTGAATGCATGAAATCAATTGATTGAGGAAGGAATCAATGTATTGATAGGTGTGAATTGATTGAAGGGTGTATGAGTACCAGATGAGGAAATATTGTTTCATGGATTTTACTTTCCTTGTCTTTCTATATCTAGAAGTTGAAATTTTCCTGTAGTTACCCATTTTTATTTCTTTATTATTCCAAATTTTGGGCAGCTATAGGTACTATCAATGTATTGGGTAAATCATGTCATTTATAGAGAAGCTTTCCTTTTTCATACACATAGGCCTTTCCCTCGTTGATTCATGAGAAGGAATGGTAGACAGATTGAATCTCTGTCTTCAGTGGGCATTCTCTGTTAAAGCTTTGTATCTGTCCGAATCCAGATGTCTGGTGAAGAACCCCGAGGAGAGAGCGACGGCATCAAAGCTCCTCCAGCACCAGTTCATCCGTGGTGCTCAGCCGGCCAGCAGCATTCTAAGGAACATGCTGGAGGAGGCAATGGAGATCCGGGAGAACCAGAACTCCAACCGGCAGAACCAAATCAAGCATATCACGGAATCGGTGAGTTGAAGCAGTGGTCTCAGAGATATTTGGTGTATTTCTGAAAGTGTATGTTTATTAAGTTTTAATGTGTATTTCTAATTTATTATTATTTTTCCATGTTTGTTATGAATTAAACTGAATTTGAAATTTGATGTTATTCTTTGGTGTCATGAATGGTAAATTCTAAATGTCCACTTTATTAACATTTGAATGGTAAAAGGATAGTTCTCAGTCTAAATGTTAATTTGGTTAACTTTTGCCATCATTTGCATGTACTTTTATAGATGCCTTATGTAATTACATTAATAAAATTGATGTTATATGTGAGGGACTAAACTAACTAGACTTTTTCTAGCAGTAAAGACCTAAATTCTTTTTGTATTCTAAATTATTCTTTTTGAAATAGGAGCTTCCAGTTTTTCAATAATAAAAGAGGAACAGATACTTATAGCACAGTATGGGAGTTTATTTGGTGGTGGAATTACTCTTAATGTGTCAAGGCTTGTAGTGTTGCAAACTAGATAAATAGCTTAAAGAAATTTTAACTGGGAGTTTGGCAGGTGGAATTCCCTACTGCAATTGAGCAACAATTAAATGATAGTTAACTAATTTGCATGTTATCAGGTGGGAGTTAATACTTATTTGATTGTAGTCCTGATATGGGCTCTCTTAGTAAACTTTGTCTTGTTTTATAAGATTCAGGCATCTTTAAGAAAGCGAAGATATATTGGTTGAATTTTTTGTCAGGTGATCAAAATGCGATGCAGGAATTGTTAGTAATTTTTAGCTAGAACAGGCAAGAACATCTCTAAAGAGAGAGACAAAAATAGATTGTCATAGGTCTCATGGCACTTGTTAAGGATGTTCAGGTGTGCCAGAAGAACCAGTTTGAAGACATGATGTATGAGATTGAAAAGTTAGAAAGAGGAACCAATTCTTTTGTTGAGTTTGCTGTAGGAACAGAGTAGGAATCATATGGTTGTATGGTAAATCCAGATTCCATATTTTCTCATAAAGATTGTTATGTTTGAGTTATATTTTAGTGAGGAATATGTGGTGGATGTCAGAGAATAGCATAGGAATTTTTGTAAGGATTAGGGGCGTACTTTAATTATTTATCTTTATGTTAGGATCTAAAATGTGGCTGCAGCACATTCTTTCAGAAAGTACTTAGAATGTAATAGGATGGTGTTCGATGGTTGTTTTGCTGAGGCACAAGTTGTTTTTATGTGATGTTTATTTTTGTGCTATTAGGCTCCCCAGCACGTTATCAGATGTTCAGATTTAGAGAGAAATTTTTGTGAAGTGGGTTGAGCAAGCGAGTTATTGTAGCAAGCTGGAGCATGACGCAGTGTATCTGACCACACAACTGGATTAGTTATATGAAAAGGAGACTGACCGTGCTTGCTTGCGTTATAATAACACGCTGACTGTCTCCCAGTTGTCGCAACAGCAGTCCCCCCAGCTCCAATTGCCGGGATGAGCACACAAGCTGAGCAAGACAACAAAAACAATGAGCACAACCAAACCCACCATCAGCACCACCCCAACCTGGCTAATAATGAAATCCAGGTTAGTGGCCGCTCCAGGGACAGAGCATGTGGCGTTTGTTTAATATCCTGCTGTGCACACCTCTTTGTGGTACTGTTTACCCTGAATGCTGGTGTCCTGCATTTGCTCCTGTCTCCACCAGTATTTTTTTTTTAATGTTATATATGTTTAAAAAGAAAAAGGAAAGTGTATGTATATGAATTAAGTGTTCTTTGCTGTTGTCTTTCACTCATATATGGCTAGTGGTGGTAACCTTTTCTTTTGTGCTTTTGGCAAAGACACTTCAAATTGTTTTGTTAGAAAAAATAATGTGTGAATTACTTGTTGTATGTAGTATATGCTACATATTTTTGATTACCTGATATATATTTTAACATAGAATAAGGTTACACTGACATACTTGCATGAAATTGTATGGAATATATTAGATTTAGATTTTTTGTAGATTTATGATTTTGGTGTATTGTAACAAGATCACATACATACAGTATAACTTAGAGTATATGTAAGGTAAATATCCAGTTTATTTCATTATGTTAAGGAAGCTAAAATGGAAAAAAAATGACAAAATGAATATTTTTCTTCTAGGAAATCATTGATGTCAAGGTAATGAATGTGCTAAAGGGAGAAAGATGCTTGAAATAGATGATAATGTCCTGAGAATGTGCCTAATACAATGTTTTGCATGCAATGTCTAATGGGAATGTACCATGTTTATTTATGTATATATATATATATTTTTTTTGTTTCAATAATGCTTGGATCTAACTGGGTTTTGAAGGGGGACGCCTAAACTTTTGCACGTTTTGGCAATTTTCACTGAAATTGTAATTAGTTTCTTGTAGTGTATTAAACTGTTTTCAGTAGTGTCACTAAAACATATGTCATCTTGTTCTCTCTCAAAATGTAGAAATTTATTTTGAATGAGTAACATAGATACCTTTAAAAGCATGCAGATGAATGTTACATACCTTTCGCAATTTATCGCAAGAAAGATTTGTACCAAGGTCATATTTGAGAGGGAATGCGTTGGTTGAAGCACGTTAGATAATTGTAACCCGAGTTGTTATAAATGTTGGTATGGTACTTACATTGTTGTACTATGTTAGTTAAGAATGTGTAATATGTAATACATTGTAATTTATATTTGATGAAGCTTGTATTTGGCTCTTCTGTACACTTTCTATGCATGTTTTCTTTGTATATCTTTGTGCATATATAATTCCAATTTTATTAGTGCATGTTATTCTTCTATGTGGTTTTGGTGCATGTTATTCTTTGTTTATTGGTATTTTTCTATCATATTTTTGTTTGCTTGTCCTCTTGTAATGCATGTTATCGGAGTGATTAAAGCTATTTTGTGCATGGCTTCTTAAAAAAAAAAAAAAAATGTAGATGTAGATCAAGGTCTTGTTTTAAAAATTATTTGGTTACTTCGACCAAATGAATTATTAAATATCAGTATAATTTATATATTAGCCTGGTAGACCAATAGACAGATAAACACACAGATATAAAAAGACAAACTTACATAAAGACAGACATACATAAAGACAGACATACATAAAGACAGACATACATAAAGACAGACATACATAAAGACAGACAGATACAAAGTCAGACAGACAGACAGACAGACAGACAGACAGACAGACAGACAGACAGACAGACAGACAGACAGACAGACAGACAGAGAGACAGACAGACAGACAGGCAGACAGACAGACAGACAGACAGACAGACAGACACAGACAGACACAGACAGACAGACAGACAGACAGACAGCAGACAGACAGACAGACAGACAGACAGACAGACACACACTCAGAGAGAGAGACAGAGAGAGACAGACAGACACACACACACACACACACAGAGAGAGAGACACAGACAGACACACAGACAGACAGACAGAGAGAAAGAGACAGAGACAGACAGACAGACAGACAGACAGACAGACAGACAGACAGACAGACAGACAGACAACCATTAATTTCATGTTTAGTTGCACTGCAGTTTATAGTGGTGGAGGTTAGATCCTAATCAACTTTAGTTAAATTGCTATTGTCTTATTAGTTTTTAAAAATGAAATAATGATGATTAGTGTCTCATTCTTAGATGACCTTTTTGCTAGTTGACATAGGCATAAAATAATGATTAACAAATGCATGATTCCATGTAGCTTTGGAGGTGGCTCATGGAGGTTGGTGAAGAGAGTGTTTCAGAATCGACAGGCGCTGGTATTTTCATATACGCCTGCTTCTCCTTCAGGACGACGATGAAGTGGACAGTCGGACGATGGTCAGGTATAGTGCCGGTGGGGGTGACAGTGGTACCTTGCGCCCTGCCAACAACGAGGGCACTCTAATGGCACCACTGCAGTCTGGTGGCACTCTTGTCTCACCGGTAGACTCGGCGACGCTCTCCTCAGACCTCGGGACAATGGTCATAAACTCCGACAATGAAGATGAAGACGAGGACTCCACAATGAAGAGTGAGTGGAGAGAATTTTTTTAGATTGACTCGATGCTTTGGAGGGACCTGGTGGATTTATGGAGATGAGGTTCAGTGGAAAGAGGGAAAAACATGTAGGAGAGAATTACTTGAAGATTTGATGTATTGATTTTTTGTTGAATCTACAGTAGATATATATATATTTTTTTTCAAAATAAATTGTATTATCATCATATAGCAATATCTATTTGATATTACTTTTATGGTTATTTTTTAGATTAAGAAAGGGTGTATTTTGCTAATATTTAACTAAAAGTAGGAGTTAGTGTTACTTGAAATGTTTGATGTGTCATTATAATTTGTTTTTTTCTACAGGGCATGACACTGCTCCTGGTGAGCAGAGCAAGAAATACAGGCCTTTGTTCCTTGACCATTTCGATAAAAAAGAACAAGAAAAGAGGGTAAGGAATGACAGGTCTTTAGTTATTGTGATGACATATGAGCTCATGTGGTGTGGAACTTTTGGATTTTCTGTATTCATTTTGTGCTTTTGACAAACATATTGCACATTTAATTACTATTTGTTTAACTGAATGCTTTCTTGTCTCAGGCAAGAAGTAAAGGTTCAAAGGATAACTCTCCGCTGGAGCAGTTGGCGCCGCAGCAATATGTTGGGACGGGCAGACCTATTGTCACACAACAGCACCCGACGTCACAATCATCCCAGGTATTATATTTAAATCTTGCCTTTGATAGAAATTCTTACCGCTGAAATAGTTTGAAGTGCAGAGACCATAATGCCAAGTTTGATATTCATATCCTTTTTTTCCTTTAAAAAAGGAGGTATTGCTTTGAAGTTTAAAGAATGGTACTTTTATTGTAGTATTTTTATTTTTGGGTTTCAGGAAAGTTATGATAAAAAAAAGAGGACTTTAACTAAGGTTTAGTACTGTATATTCTTAGAGATCAGAAAAGTGTAGATAAATTTCATAGCTTAGTCACTGATGCAATCTGGAAAAAGAAAAATAGCTGAAGTGTATTTGAGGAATCAAATGAGAATAATGTCAGGTGAAGTTGTCACATGATTCACTTGTTCCTGCCTTGATGTTATTTTTCTTCATGGTTTTCTTTCTGCTTTACAGTTGCCTTTAGAAGAAAAACAGTTACTACAACAGCCTCAGCACTCACAGCAGCAGCAGCCACAGCCCAGCACAGTGCATCACCAACAGCACCAACAACAACAACAACAAATACAGCTACAACAGCAGCAGCAACAGGTGCAAAACAGCCAAGCCTTTGAGGACCAACAAGGTGGAGACGGCACAATGGTTTATTCTCCAACGGCGCTAATACACTCGCAGCCGAAGCCCATGTCGGCTGAGGAGCAACAGAAGTTCGAGGTGGGTTTGAGAAGCGAAAAATAAAGGGATAGCTTATAACGGTGTAGCCATGAGGACCAGCATGGGATATTTGCTTACTTTTTGTTGACTTTTGGCTTGTGTTCTGTCTCCATGGAGGATTTTCTGGTTGTAGTGTTCTTGAAGTTGGAGCGTTTTTAGTATTCTAATCAAAACTCAGCCAATCTCAAAATTTATTGTTGGTTACAACTAGTATGCTGTTTCATGTATTCGCTATTTTTCTATAGAAAAGAATCCTCTTTTGAATACCGGTGTTATCAGAAGCCACAGTTTCATTGCTGTCCTTGTTATCTTTATATTTTCTCAAATTCCTGCTCAGTTTATAAAGGACTTACTAACTCATCTATTTTACGCCTTGCAAACTAACACACCTTTCCTTGCTCTAGCAGTGCTCAAATTTGGAAGAGGAACAAGTAAGTGTCTTTTTTGTTAAAGCTTTCTGTAAAAAAAATGCTATCCAGTCCCTAGTGCTTATTTACTTTGACTTATGATTGATTTTTTGCAGGCTTTCTTTAAGATTAGTCAGTTGTGTATGGAAAATTAGTATGCTTATCCTGGTTTGTAAGATAATTGAAAGAACAGATAGGATGCTTCTTTTCATGTTTATAGTTTCATGTGAATGCTTCCCAAATTTTGTTTCAATATCTTTTATAAAATTCTTTAACTTCTTATTGCACTCTATATGTGTTATAGGGATTTCTTTTGTATCTATTCATATTTATTTTATTTTTGCTGGTTTTCTCCCTCTCTTTCTTTCTCAATTCCTATTTTACTAATTTCTGGATATATTTATTTACCTCTGTGATTCATGATCACGCTGTATCTAACACAATGTACCTAATTCATTTAGAAGAAAAAAAAATTGGCCCAGTTACAGGTCTTCTTTGTCTATAGTATGTAGTTTTTGCTTTGGGAAATTCAGCAATTTGATAATGGGTCTATGATTGTCTTTCATGTTGTATTGTAAGGTAACAAGTAACCAAGTTTGCTTTACAAAGTGAGAATGATTACTTTTGTAAAGTTTTGTTAATCCTTTGCCTCCACATGGTAGTTATGTCATGCCATGCTGAAATTGGCTATCTCACAAGGGCCTTTTGTGTCAGTATCTTAGTTGAGTCTCACAAATTACAGCTCTTCAGTCATGTTTACTTTGTACTGTGACAGGCTTTTGCAGGAATTTAAGCTAAAAGATAAATTGAAGCACCATTAGTTCATACATGTCTGCATCAAAGGCACAAACCAGGACTTTTGTCATTGTATATATAGCATGAAAGAATACAGAGGTTGCCTATATTTGTGCCACCATGCTTATGTGTGGCCCAGAAGTTAGGCCTTTTGGTGTTGCAGCCAACCTGGAGGCATTGGGTTAATCAGCTCTTCAGATCTTTAGGGCTAATGAATAAAATCACATGGTCCTTCTTTAATTCTCTTTGCTTCATTACACCTGGGCTTTCAAATTATCTTTCATTAGCATCTTCCTTTTCAGGGAGGGGCCTGTTGTATATAATGTCTCATGGGTGTAGAGAAAATACACCTTGCGTTAAAGTGTTTTTTATGTCTTGCTCTAATTAAAGATAGATCATGGTAATCAATCAGACTTTTTCAAGTATGTCTCTCAAGTGAAAGGGTCACAAAGTACAGCTTTATCTTTGAACCTCACTCTTTTATTTCATTTTGTACACAAGGAGGACTCTTCCATAGGTTACTGTTTGTTATATACTTTATTATACACAATTATATGGACTACAACTAAATAGAAGATGTTAAGTAGATAATTTCAAATGCCTTGTAAGATGATATTAATGAAGATTAAAATGTCAGACATGTTTGCATCAGCAAAAGTATCAACTAATTGAAAACAGGTGTAAGAAAACAAATTATTTTTGCACCTATATTCAAAATCTGTATTCCATGCCTAGAAAGAGAAACTGAATTTCATTGTTAATTTCAGAATAATCTGCAGAGACAGTTAGTTCAGATGAACAAACCAGCCAATCACCAGCCACTGCCATCTCGGGGCGTTGCAGCCGAGAATCAACCCAAGTTCCAGAGATCTTTCATTGATGGCGACTTTGATTTTGTAGGTTCTAAGCATTGATGCCTTTGTTTTTAAGGATAGTTTTTAGTGTGTTGTCATGTTATTTTATTTTTTACTACTTTTGATTAAATGTAGTTTATATTCCTGTCAAGAACAGTAATTTTTATTATAATGGCAAATAATTAAAAAATATATATCTTTTCAGCTCAAAAACCTGACTTATGAAGAATTACATCAGCGGATGGCTACTCTAGACCAGGAAATGGAACGGGAAATTGATGAGTTGCGTCAACGCTATCATGCTAAGCGACAACCTATCCTTGATGCTATGGACCAGAAAAGGAAGAGACAGCAGAATTTCTAGCAGAATTGTGCTCTTTATATCTTTTATAATATGACATGTGCCGTAAACTTTTAAAAGATGTAAATTTGAAAATGATATTCGACTCGCCAAGAAAGAGAGTGGATACACATAACAAGTTAAAGTTAAGATGATGATGGTGGCTAAGAAGTTGGGAGAAAATACCAAACACAGATGCCAAGCATATCTGCCTGATATGAGGTCACTGTGCAATGTGTGCCATTTGATTCATATCCCTGCTTAGTGCAAGCACTGCCTGTCGTAAGAAAATGAATGAGTTCAATAGAAGTCGTTCAAATGGTATGACCTTGATATCCGAAGGAGGACTGGGAGAGCACCGGTTGCCAATTATACTAAAGATTGCTTGTGGATTTGTCATCAGCCATTAGTACGGAAAGATGCTGCCTGCCCATGGCCAGCATGAGATGGTTAAACTTACATTGATATGTGAAAATATAAAAAAGCGTGTTTGTTTTGTGGACAAGATACTCACGGACTTGCTAGTTGTGACCCCAAGCTGTGAGCTGACCATCCGAGCAGGGCGTTGCTGTCATCACTCCTAGAGAGCTCAAGTTTTGTCATGTTTATATGAATTTTTTCATTCATTTGCCTTCCTTGATTAATGCTACATATATATCTGCGAACCTCATGGTCTAGAAAGCAAAGAAGTGGCTGTCAGACTTAATTGAAGACATTGTGAGGAAATATTTTGAAAAATGGTAGTGTAATATCATTTTTTTGTTTGCTATTAAACATCTGATTCATGTCTTCCTGTCTTGTTTAATAGGCAGTGTACAGGTTGCCTACTTGCCAGGCCATGCATTCAGTGCCCATACACAGTTGTGGGGATGGTCCCTGTACATGGCTGTATTTGAGTTTTCTACACAGCTTTGTATCTGGAACTGTGTTCATCAGCATGCCCCATCTCGGTCCAAAGCTTTTGTATAGGCTGTACATTACTGTGTTGTGATGTCTGGGCAGAGCTGTGTGGGTAGTCTCTGTATGCGGGTTTTTCTGTGGGCACCAAACACTGCCATAACTCTCACGCTGGGAGGCTCGTGCCAAGCTTCTCTTCCATCTGATTTTTCTACAGGTTTTGACTACACTGTTTACAGTGTTGAATATTGTAGTTTGTACTTATTCCTTTTTGGTGTTCATTTTATATGCTGTGGTGAGAGGGGAGGAGAGAGAGCGAGAGAGCAAGAGAGAGTGTAAGAGAAGAAAAGGTTCAAGAACTGTCCATATTCAGAGATAATTTATGCATTCAGATAAGGTTTTCCAGTCATTAGTTGTAAGTTTTATTGTAGATCCTCAATTTTTTTGCCAAAATCTGATCATCCATGAAAAGGAGAAAGAAGGAAAGTCTTGGAAGTCTTGGCACGTAAGAGGTGACTGCACGCTGGCCGTCAGCTTCTTCAGCCAGACAAAGAAACCTTGGAACATCATTTTTGGTGTGGATGTTGCCATATCTCTAACTTGTATCTGAATGTACATAATTATTCTTTCTTTTTTATGACTTTTGAAAAAGAAAAAAGAAAAAAGAACTTAGGGAGTGAATTGACTTTCATACATATCTTGAGATGGCCTTAATGCTGGGGTCCGACTGAACGTTCAAAGGCTTGCACGTAAGTTCAAAAAGTTTTGTCGAGAAAGAGGGCATTAGTGATGGTCTGATCCTTGTGTAGTTAGAGCAGGTCTTGTGGATGATGATGTGACAGTATGTACTATTACAGCTTTTAAACTATGATGCATTCCTTTCTTTTCATTTTCACATATTGCATTTTATGTTTTCTTTTTACTGTAGACATCTTTAACCTTTTTGTTTTTGTTTTAATCCTAGCTAGGTTAGTGTAACCGATAACTGTGCTAATAGAATTTTTTTTTTTCTCATTTTGTCGTACTAATTTTATTTTCGTCTGTAGTATTTACCTTTCTTTTCATGTATAGATGACTGTACAGCATCCTCTCGTTAATTTATTAACTGGACAAGTATCCCTATGCTTTCATTTTCTTTATCTTTCCTTTCTTTGTTGTGCAAAACTTATTTTAACCAACATTTTTCAAGGATTGCACTAAAGCACTTCAAAAGCTGGTGATGGTTTATGGTGTCACAGACGTAAAGCTAGAGATGCGTTAGTTTGCAGGTGACGACTGATCCTTTGTAACTTCTAGTCAGGTAAGGAATCACTCGCCAATTCAGGCTTAACCCGGAGGAGAGGAGAAGAGAACAAGGAGTTTCTTGATTGAGTGATTTGTCATGTTTCCGCCATTTTATTTCATTGTTATTATTTTTTTCTTTTCTGTAAGGAACGGATAACAAAACCCAAAACCAAAAAAAGAAGAAAAAAAATAAGTGCCAGGTAGCATCTGTGATGTATCGCGAGAGAGGTGACCCAATTTTCTGATGTCTCTCGGCACAGACCTCACATGTGCGCAGTGTAGTGTCATTGTGTAGCGAATCGCATTTTCCTTTTAAGCCAAGTGGCCACAGAGGCTGGCGTCAATCGCTCTGCAAAACTGATGCAACTTGTTTTTTTATACATGTATGTGTGTATGGTCTTTATCATTATTGTTTGAATAATTGTTGTGATTGGTGATGATGATATTATTGTTATTATTATTATTATTTTTTATTTTTTATTTATTTTTTTATTTATTTTTTATTATTATTTTTTTTACCATTATTATTATTAATTTCATTATTACCATTATTATTATTAATTTCATTATTATTGTTATGAGTTCCATTATTATCATTACTTTTATAACAATTATTTTATTATTTAATGATTATTATATGCATTTTTGAAATTTGTTTATCAATATTGTTTTAAAACAGATTTAGAAGATCTTTGTGATAATGTAATAACATTTTTACAAGTGATGTACATAATTTGATTATATGATTTCAATAGGTCCAAAAAATCATATGATATTTGATATAAAAGTACAGGCTCATTTTATTTATTTTTTTATCCTTTGAGTTCCTCTCTGATTTTTATGTTCTGCCAAGATGTTGTAGACATGAATGAGTTCTTGAAGTTCCTGTGTTTTTGCAAGCATAAATTTTCAAAGACTGCAATCGTGTGGATGAATGCGAGTACTCGCCCAACATGAAAATGCACATACTCGATCACGTACAACATATGTCAACACAAGATAGAAATGGCACATGACACAACACACATGCCGAAACACCTCAATCTCTCCAGAATTTTTAAAAGATGCTGCCACTGCCGTTGCCTGTATAGTCTGCTGAGTAGAATGTAAGTCATCTACTAATACTAAAAATTCATTTTATCTTTGTTTATCCACTTCTCATTGTATCAAAGATCAGAGTTAGTATTATTTGGAAGCATTTGGAAATTCTGTCATTCAAATATTCTGTACAATGCAGCAGTCTGGCTCAGTCATGATAAATTTTCCATAAGAATTTACAAGGCACATGAAAGGGTATTGCACGATATAACAGTTTTACAAAAAAAAAAAAAAAAATTTAATGGTTTATTTTTTTCTATAGTATCACTCCCGATACTTTGCTCATTGTTGTCGTGGAGGGCTTAGGAGATGGAGACTGAGACCCAGTGTAGGAGATCACCCCTGCCTTGGGCCTCAGCCTTCACCTTCACCTGCCTGGTCTTTTCCTTTCTCCTTTCCTCTTTCATATCTTCTTCATACCCTTCTAATCCCATTCCTATGGTGTGAGAGCTGTGTTGAAAAGATGAAAGGCTGGCTTTGTGTCAGTCATGAACGGCCTTCGGGAGCCATGGGCACAGTATTCCTTGGTAATTGCCTAGCCTTTTCCTCGTATGGGGACCCTGAAGAGTAGACGTTTCTTTTCCCCATTTTATTCAGGCTCGCCATGGCAAGTAATGAAGATTCTTTACCCTTAATAGGGGCATTAAGGCTTGCCCCTTCATCAGTTAGCTGATCTAAATTTGATTTTGATGGTTTTCCAACCGCTGGCCCTCCTTTGACCACGGCTCCGACCACTGATACTATTACCCCTTCCTGACAACTCTATCCATTCCAAAACACCCACCCATCTTATCAATCAACCTCCAGAAAGCACCCTTTCCACTCTCCCAACATTCTCCTCTCCATCTCCTACTGCACAGTCCTCTTCAGTGTCTACCCCCTCTTCCCTTATTACTACTATTCATCCATATTCCCCCCCCCACACACACACACACACACACACGACACAAACAGACACACGACTACTCCACTCCACACCACCCCATCTTCCTCTCCCCCTCGTCCTTCTACTGCCTTTACCTCTGCAAACCTTTTGAGTAATCTCTTTAGCTCAGCCAAGTGGGATCGATTCTTTGTGATTCCCCCCACAACCCCCTATTCTGAAAATACCCATCTCTTTCAACAGTGCCTCCAAAAACAAGTTGGCAAGGTTACCTTTTGCAGTTGTTCCGATTGTTCACGCCTTGTCACAGTTGCATCTGAATCCCAAGCTCGTGCACTATCTACCCTAACTGACCTTACTGGTAAACCCATTCTTGCTGAACCTCACCCCTCTCTTAATACTTGTACTGGAACTGTTTCTATCCCCAAATGCTTGTCCTATCTACAACAAGGACTGGTCAAACTGTGAAAATTACCTACTTACCTGCCTTGCTGATTATGATGCAGTGGCAGTCCATGGTTACACTATTCCATCCAGATGCCAGCATAAGTCCCAGGTCAATATTGCCAAGATTAGCTTCTATAGACGACCCCCCCATGAGGTTTATATTGATGGATCGTCCTCCCATGTCTAACTATGTTGACCCCTTCCTTGTCAATATCAGAAATGTTGGCATTTTGGCCACCCAGCCTAACACTGTCACTCCACAGCCCAATGCCCTGTATGTGCCCAACCTGGTCATGACCATTCAAATTGCCCTGCTCAGTCATGTAGATGTGCCAGTTGTGGAGACTCCCATAATGTATTTTATAGGAGCTGCCCTGTCTTTAAGCTTGAATGCGAAGTAGCAGTCCTCAGATTCAAGCCAGGCCTCACTCTGTGTGAGGCCTGGTTTGAATCTGAGGACTAAACCATCCCATCTCTACTCCCTATCCCCCAGTCAAATTCATTCTAAATCCAGGTACTCCAATCTCTACCACTTCCCTGATACCTACCCCTCCTCCTCACTTGTATTTTTCGCACCAGGCAACCTAAATGTTTCACTCCACCCTCTCCTACACCTTCCTTTCTGGTCCTCAGATATCTATCTCCTCTTCTCCTCATAAGGGAACCTTTTTTCTCAGTCCTCTTCACCAAACTCCCCTCCAATAATCCTTGAAGACATCCAAAACTCCCTAAAGATGAACCAAGGGAAAACACTGCTCCCTCACCCAACTCCCAAAACTTCTGTTCCTACTCCTACATTTAAAGTATTTGCAGATATCCATCCTCCTCCTCCACAACTTCCCTCCACCCCCCTTCTTCCTACATCCTCCCAACATACCCCACCCTCTCTACTGCTCCCACTTGAATACTCACATGAGTCCCCTCTATAACAACAGTGTCCTTCTCCAGACCCCTCCCCTTCAGACATTCTTCCTGATACTTCACCACCTTCCCCAGTCCCCATTTCTCATCCCCCAGATTCCTCTCCTCCCACTCCTCCAACAGCCACCTCTGTTTTCCTTGAACAATGTCCCTATTCCTTCCCTATTCACTCAGTCGCTCTACCCCTTAACCTTTCCCATTTTATCAATCCCTGCTCTACTTCATTTACGTCCCTCTTTTCCCTTTTTGTTTCCATACTTTTGACGTCTAAACATCCCCCCTCTCCCCAGATTCTTCTACTTTTCCAACAGGCATCTCTGTTTTCCTTGAACATTGTTCCTATACCTTCCCCAGTGACAAATACATTATAATTCACTCAATCGCCCTACTGACTTAATCCTCCCCTTTATACTAATCTCTACTCTAGTTACTTACTCCCCTCTTTTCCCTTTTCACTACCATACTATCCTATAATGCTCTCTAATCTTTGACATCTAACACATCTTATCCTAATCTTTAACTCCTCTTTCCCCTTTCCGACACAATACTTTACCATAGTGCTATATGACCTTTGATGTCTAGCACATTTATTTGTTTCAAACATTAAACATTAAACATTCAGTAGTATCAGTAAATCTAAAGGAAATACATAGGGACATGTGGAATAAGAAAATTTATCAAGATAAACAGAATAGATATCTTAATAACTAAAGATGTAAATGCATATAAGCAGAATATGGCAGCAAGAACCTTTAGTTTTTTTTTTTTTTTTAGATAGTATGAGTGGCTCAGTGGGTTTAGGCACCGAGTACTGATGTAGTGTTTGGGTAGTTCTTGTCGCAAGTGATTAAGATCTCAATTGTTCATAACACAGGGGAAGGGGTGACTGATAGGGCCTATAGGATGAGGCTGTGCAACATCTGATAGCTCTACCAAAATTTTAAAGAGAAAAAAAACAAAAACAGAACCAAGCAAGAAAGATGAATAAAAAAGAAAAGGTACCTGTGAGGATGCTATTTTCATTACTAAATATCTCAGTTGGGTAGCAACATAGGAACCAGAGTAAGAGAAAAGTGTTTGATTAGCATGAAAAACTCTGGAAGGATTGGATTGGCTAAAACCTATGGTTTAAAGTTTTGCAAACCTGCTTAATTTAACATGTGGTAGAAGCATTAAGAACTTTTGATTTTATTATTTACAATGTAGATCATAGAAAATGTAGAAATGAAAATTACTAATATCTCTTCAGTTCCATCCCTGAGTTTGAGAAGTTATTCTTTCTCATTCCTTTTCTACATATGTCCCAATGGATTCTTTTCATAGATGGGTTTTATGTCCAAAAGAAGAATCAGTATTGCAACGCTGTATCAGTTTTGTTGAGTGTTTGAAATGGATTTATTTTTTTTACAGTACAGTATATCTCATATAAGTTTGTATATAGTGGAAGGTACAACAAAGGAGAGACTTTCATTCTTGACATAGTTACATTTTCCTTTAAGCCAATTAACAGTATAGGTTCAACTAAGTGTTTAATGGGATGCAGGGTGTTGAGGAAGGAAGTGTTTCAGTATTACAATAAGTGCTTGTTCAGATCACATAGTAGGACTATTAGACCATCAAGTATTTGTGAATAGATGAAAAGTGCTCACCACGAAGGGTATGAAAGCAAATTAGGTGAGAAGCAGTGGTTTTTAAAAATTCCATCATGGATTGATTACAAGTTGACGTGGTTTGAGTTCATTGATATGTACAGGCAAAGATATCCTACATAATTTGAGGTTAAAGCAAAATGGCATGTAATCCAGCTTGTTGATTCATAGCATCATTG